GGTAACTTCATTATCCTATTATTATATGTTGATGATATATTGATTGTAGGAAAAATGCTAGTATGGTTTGCAGGTTGAAAGAACAATTGTCTAAGTCCTTTGATATGAAGGATTTAGGTCCAGCAAAGCAGATTCTTAGTATAGATATTATCCGGGATAGGAGAGCTAGAAAGCTATGGTTGTCACAGGAAAAGTATGTTGAACGAGTGCTTGGTAGATTCAACATGCAATATGCTAAATCAGTTAGCAGTTCACTTGCCAACCATTTTCATCTAAGTAAGAAATCTTGTCCAGTGTCTAAGGAAGAGCAACTAGCTATGTCTAGTATTTTTTATTCTTCTACAGTCGATTCTTTAATGTATCTTATGGTTTGTACAAGGCCTGATATTGCTCATGCCGTTGGTGTAGTGAACAGATTTCTTTCTAATCCAGGAAAGGTTCACTGGAAAGCAGTGAAATGGATCTTTAGATATTTGAGGGGTACCTCAAAAATGTGCTTGACTTATGGAGTTTCACAACTAGTTCTAGAAGAGTTTACTGATGCTAACATGGCAGGCGATCTTGATGGTAGAAAATCTACTTCAGGGTATTTGTTCACTTTTGCAGAAGGAGCTGTATCTTGGCAATCTAAGTTGCAAAAGTGTGTTGCTTTGTCAACTACAGAGGTTGAGTATATTGTAGCAACCAAAGCATGTAAAGAAATGCTTTGGATGAAACGTTTTCTTCTTGAATTGGGATTGAATCAGAAAGAGTATGTGGTATTTTGTGATAGCCAGAGTGTTTTAGATTTGAGTAAGAATACCATGTACCATGCTAGAACAAAGTACATTGATGTTAGATATCATTGGTTACGTTCAGTGATTGAAGAACATCAGATGTTATTGAAGAAAGTCCATACTGATAAGAATGTAGCAGATATGTTGACTAAGATACTTCTTAGGGAAAACCTTGAGCTTTGCAGTAACTTGTCCGGAATGAGTTCCCTGGCCAAGGTAAGTTCCAAATGAAACTGCTATGGTGATGAATCTCCTCCTAATGGGGCTGGAGAGGGAGATTGTTAGGAAAATGGGGTCCAGTCCCATGTAAGTAGTTTTGGACCAAGTAAAGGCCATGGGCCTTGATCTTTTATTTTACACAAAGCTCTAGCTACTTAATAAAAAAGAGGTGTGGTTGCTTTAGGTGTGTGTCGAAAACCAAGCAAAGAAAGAAGAAAAGCAAAGAGAGAAAAAGGAGAAGGGAGAGTTGGTTAAACGGAAGTCGATCCGTGGTCCGATTGAGTTAGAACCTTGTCAGGAGGTTTATGATTCAGAGTTCTACATTTTGAACGGTGAAGATCGGGTTTGAAGCTCTCTAGGAACAAATCCAGGGTGTATTTGTTGAGTCACTTATTTGATGAGATTTTTCCAATTGTTTCTCTAGTTGTTGATTAGCTCTAGTTTTAGCTAGAGAAGAACTTTGTATAACTATTATTTGATAGTGAAGATTTTTCTGGTGGCCCGTAGTTTTTTCCCTCTACACTGGAGGGTTTTTTACGTAAATCTTGGTGTGTTTTATTTTTCCTACGTATTTGATTATTGATTGTTGTCTATTGCTTCTGTATTGTTGTGATTATTGCTTCAGGCGCAACACAAGAGAAGACAAATCTCTTAGTTCTGTCAAAACTGTTGTGTCGATTCGTAGTGATCAGACACTATTAAGATAATATGGAAGAGTGGTAAAATAGTTTAAACACTAGAGACCAAGTCATCTGTGACCTATGCTGAAATGAGTTCAGATGGTCGATATATCACAACTGCAGATGGATTTACGGTTAAGTTCTGGAATGCAAACCGCTTTGGGTTGGTAAAAAGCTACAACATGCCATGCACGATTGAATAAAACTTACTAGAATTGAAATATGAAAGTAAATTCATTGCCAGAGGAGAAGATATATGGGTTCGTGTCTTTTATTTTCACTCTGGGAATGAGATAACATGCAATAAAGGTCAACATAGTTGTCCCTGAGTGTGTTTCTCACCAAGAGAGGAATTATATGCCTCAGGATCTATGAATGGAACCATTAGCAAATGGCAGATAAACCCTCTGCCTCATGATGACACTGAATCATTTGCAGCATAGGTTCAATTGGAAAGATGAAGGTATCCCCTGAAGAGGTTTCGCGCAAGATTCATTTGCAGCAAATAGAATTTTTATTAAAAAAAAATTCAGTTGACATGGTAGTTTTTTCCTTGTAAACAGTGATACAACAGTGACGTGGTTTCAATACCTCATTTAGTGAAAAAAGATTAAAAGAACCCTCATATGAGAATAAAGATTTAAATTTACATTGGTGTGAGAAAAAACTGAAGAAATTATTAAAAGGGCCGTATCTGCTAGAGAATTGAGAGTTCCTATCGTAATACACGATTACTTAACCGGTGGGTTCACTGCAAATACTAGCTTGACTCATTATTGCCGAGATAATGGTCTATTTCTTCACATCCATCGCACAATGCACGCAATTATTGATAGACAGAAGAATCATGGTATGCACTTTCGTGTACTAACCAAAGCTTTACGTCTGTCTGGTGGAGATCATATTCACTCTGGTACAGTAATAGGTAAACTTGAAGGAGAAAGAGACATAACTTTGGGCTTTGTTGATTTACTACCTGATGATTTTATTGAAAAAGATTGAAGCCATGGCATTTATTTCACTCAAGATTGGGCTTCTCTACCAGGTGTTCTGCCCATAGCTTGGGAGGCATGCTTATAGTTATTTTCCAAATTTTGAGTTGTCAGGTTACTAAACCATGACATCTGGACCTCTACAGCCACGTCTTGTGTTTCACTCAATATGCTAGCCAAATTTTAAATATTCAGAATGACCAAAATCCATATACTTATGTACGTATGTCCTGCAGACAATTTTTTTTTTTTTTTCACTCCATAGTTTTCTTGAGCAGGAAGTAAATAAAGAAAACGTTTTCTATACCAATAGAAGGAAAGTAACTTTCTGTTAATGATTATTGTAATAATGTGTCTTTAGTCCCCGTTTCTTTAGATATTGAATGAAGATCACTATCACTAGTCAAAATTGTTTCATGGGCAAAAGTTGTGGAAAGTTGCTTAGATTGGAACTCTCATCTGATTTTAGCATTTTATCTTCCAAAATTGAGATGGGATCAAAAGTTCCATTTAAAATGGTTTAATCTTCAATGAGGAATAAGCTAAAAGAATAGGTTGTAAGATCAGTTAAGCTTGTTTTCATTTTAATCAAGTATATGAAAGGACTTTTTTTCCTTTATTTCAAATTTTGGGGGTAGGAGTGCACTATTTCATAGCAAAACTTGTTCATATAGTTGAGAGTTAGGTTTTTGAACATTTGAAGTTCGAATGATTTATCGTATGTATCCATCCTATCTCTTGGACCAATCTTTTCCATTTTTTGCTCATTGCATTAAACAACAATTTCAGGAAAAGTTGCTTATAACGAAATGGTTATTGCTTTTCAGGACTTGACGGATCTACTCCAGCCAACATGCGCTAGTCTCTTGCTGATGAGTTTCACTCAAGTCCAAGCAAACTAGTGTTTTTCCTCCCAACTCGAACACAAGGATAATAAATAGGCTTGTAATTTGAATTTTCATTTCATATTGTTTCTTTCTTTTTTGCTTTCAGGTGTTCCTTATATCAACCCGAGATGGTGGGCTCGGATTGAATCATGAAAGTGCTTATCGTGTGGTTATATTTGATCCGAACTGGAACCCAGCCCAAGATTTAAAACCCTAGGACAGATCATTTCGTTTTGGGCAGAGGCGGCATGTTGTGGTTTTCTGCCTTCTTGCTGCTGGTTCCCTTGAAGAACTTGTATATTCTTGTTAGGTGTATAAACAGCAGCCATCAAACATTGCTGTCTCTGGGAAAATGGAAAAGAGAATATACTTCGAAGGCGTGCAGGTATAAGCATATGGGATTTTTTTTCAGCTAAACTACTCTCCCAGTAATTTAACTAAGTTTTAGACCTACCCGTACATTATTTGCAATGTTACCTTATACTTGTGTCTCGATTTTAGAGTTTCCTAGATCCCTTCTGACATCCCAGGTCCATCGCTCGAGAGAGCTGCCACTAATAAACCAGTCCTTGAAGACTTGGGTAACTTCATTTTACTTCCTTGTGTTTCCCTCCTTTTTTTCTGTTTCCATTTAGTCAATGGCCTATAGTTTCATTCATATTTGATCATTTCTTTTATGGATTTGTTTTTATCATTCTCTTCACACGACATAGAGACAAAACCAAAATGGATGTAGTTATATTTCGTTTTTTGAGTTAACATGCAGTTTGGCTTTCTGTTCTGTGTTGGTTTTTACAAGCCGACAAAGAAATGTGCCATAACATAGGTTACTCCAAAGAAGCTACGTATTTGAATACGTGCATTTCATAGGGATTTGGCATCAAATGGGATAATAAAAAATGGTGTTGGAGAGGCAGAGCTCTTAAGCAACTGACTTCTGTAAATATGGTTCTCCTTATCTTCAGGTATCTTGTTATATGCCCATCGTAATGAAGACATTGTCAACAGTAGACCTGGGATTCAACAGAAAACGGTAGTAGTCGTTACCAAGGATGATAACCTGAGAAGAGATGCTAATGCTTCATGGAAGAGGGAATCAGCTGGGTTGTTCTCGACCAGGGACTAGAAAGAGATTCAACATGGCCGTCTAGCTCAGTTCAAGGGCATGGGAGTGGTTGAGTGCGATAGGTGGTTACTCTCTATCTGCCACTCCTTGGGAGAAGGATATTGTCCTTTAGGACTACAAAAAGAGGAAGAAAAATGAGTCATCTAATGGTTGAATGGAATTTTGGGAAGTCCACTTCCACTCACAGACTTGTAAAGACACTCTTCATTTCTCTCTACCCTTATTTCTAGTGATCGTTTTATGCTACTCCAAAGCTTACAGTTGGGCTAGTTCAGGCAACTGAAGTGGGCAGTAAACAATTTCAATGTTTATTATAATCAATGGTTTATTTACTTTTCCTGTAATTTTCACATCACACTAGAATCCATCGAGTCAAAGTGGTTTAGACAACAATATACAATACCTTGCGTTTCCACTGTCACTGGAAAAAGACCTAAACAAAGCTTTCATCCCACAATTAGGATCTGGAATTAGTTATGGTTGATCATATTATACTGTGACATAAAGCCAGTTAATATTCATGAGTGAAAAGTCTCATTATAACATTCTATTCCCATACAAGTGTCTGGTGACGCTCAAACTATGAGAGAGGTTACATTTCCAGCATTTCCATATTTCTTAACCATGTGTAACTACTTCCTTTGCATTTTGAATCTAGACACTGGCTTTGAAGTTTGCGAACCAGAAAACTGCAAAGGACAAAAAGAATTGCAATGAGAATTTGAAGTCAATGAAAATCCTGCTTAATTGTTACATACTCTCCAAAAGATGCATAAGCAGCAATACCTGTGATGTAGTTTGTCCAGGTGAAGCTTTCTCCAAATTCAGAGTATGCTCTACTATAGAGCCCGTAAAAGCCTGCACAAACAGTTAGTAAATCATGATGGATAAAGGCACATAAACATGTATTATGCCCATGACAAAGTAACCAAAACATTTGAGGAAGTATACCTTGGAACTATCAAATCCTGATTTTGAGGTCTGGACAGATTTCTGTAACACAAAATTGGAGTTAAAATGGAAGTTAACAGCCTTTTCTTTGGTAATCTTGCATGTACCACTAAAAGTTATAGAAGATGCAGTTCAAAATAAAACCAGTGATGTTATGTGAAGATCTATTCCAAAATAACATAATTGATACTATGTTGTTTTTGTTTTTTTCCTTCTCCGAAGGACCACCACCTCAAAGACCAGGATGCCAACCTTAGTAAGCATTGAGTAACTGTTTGAATCAGCAGTTGTTATGCAGGATATCTTCAACTTTTGGACATTCAAAGAAGAAAAGCCTTGCATCAATCAAGATAAAAAATGCTGGTTTAAAGAGATGCTTCCTTAAGAATACTAGAGTTCAAATATAAGCTATAAATACCTCATTTCTTGATGAATGTTCTGCTTCAAACTTCACTCTCTTTTCAAAAGGCACAGATGCATTTATCGAAGGATTTAACATCTTTGTTTCTTGAGGCATACTTTGACTATGTGACATTTTACCTGAATAAGACAAATAAAGGAATTGTCTCATCTATAAAACAAACTTGAATTGATATTTACATCTATTGGTAGGTAAGATATTTTCTTTTCCTTCTTGAGTTTAGAGGATTGATTACATGCATAAGTCAGAAACAAACACCATTAATACTAACCTTTGATAACAGGTTCTACTGTCAATCCCGTGCACTGCATTTTCAAAAATATACAAAAATCAATGGCTTGTAACAAAAAAATTAATTCAGGATGTTGATTATCACTAACAAAAAAGTAAAAGAATAAAGAAGGAATACAAATATTTAATCTCTTACTGCTAATTGACTAATTAAATCCTGATGATGATATTTACTAGATGTCTCTTCGTTCATTGAATCTTTGCCTTTCAACTGCTGTAGTGGTTTCCTTGACTGATACACCTATTTTGCAAATGACCAGAGAAATTATTCAATGTATAATTGTATTCAACAGGTTAAAAGAATCAAGTATCAACTGTCAACATTACCTCTGAATATCTTTGATCATGATCAAGAGAACTGTAACCTTCATATTTTTTTCTGTGAAAAACAGCTTTAGCTTGCTCATCTTCATCTTCATCACCATCACTTACAGCAGCACCAGTATCTTGATCTTCATCATTCTCTCCATAACTTTCAGCTGCAAGTTCTTCTTTCTCAAGTGCTTCCAACCTTGACATTATATGAGCAAATTCATCATCCTCAGATGCAACCATTGTATTGTCTGCTTCAGCAAAACTAGGAGATTCTTGCTCCAGCTCACCTGAAAAGAAAAAGTTGTCTAATTTAAAATCCTCAACTTCAGAAAAATAATCAATAACCATTTCATCCTAATCAATTAAGAATAAAAGTAACAAACATCAGATAAGTTGGCTGCCTGATAACAAGTGCCTTGGCAATAAAAAATCTAGAAACATATAAACGAGTAGGATATTAAAGCAACGTGTTAAAGATGCTCATTATGTTAAAGAGACATTGCAAGCAACGGGCACTACAATTAGGTTTGTATAAAACATAATTCAGAATCCAGTGGCTCACTATCATCTTTACTAAATCAAGTAGACTCCATAGTTGCAATACCATGCTGCTGATACGAAAGAAAGAAAAAGCAGAAAGCGCGTACCTGACTGAGATTCCGTTTCAGTAGAATTCTCCTCCTCATACTCTTCTTTAATCTCCACAAGATCCTCCTGTTACAATAAAATCACAGTCATAGGTAAAGATTCCAAAGCCTAATTTAACCCATTAAAAAGCAGAAGGAAAGGAGATTGTGAAACTTACTGCTGCTTCAGAAGCGGTGGAATCAAAAAAGGAAGCCTCAGCTTTAAGATCCTGCATGAAGGCCTCCAACGCATCCATTTTGGACTCCAATGATTTCCCTCTTCTCTTTAGAATTTCAACTGTTTGTTTAGCTGTTCTTTCCACATAGTAACTTTCTCCCAGTAGAACCTGCAACGAATTCTTAGAAGGAAAATGCCCAAAGTTTTTAACTTAAAATTAACCTCCTAATTGACCGTAAACAAAAAAACGATACCAGAAACTCGTTCGTGTGAATCAAACGACCAGGAAAGAACGCGGCTTTCCCAAACGGAACCTGAGAAAAGACAACCAAATAACTTACTTTTTCAAAAAAAAAAAAAAAAAGCATAAATAATGCTAGTAAAATTGATTGACTTTAAGTGGATATGCTTGCCATGATATCGTGGTGGAGTTCTTCGGGGAGCTTTTGAACGAGGTTGATAAGGGAGGTGTTATCGGCAATGAATTCTCTCAATTGATTCATCTCATTCTGCTTCTCTGAAAGCGTCTCTGCCACCCGGTTCGCCGCCTTCTGCACCTCCTCCGCCGGGAACATCGACGACAGCGACGTCACCGTCCCTTTCACTTCTGGTTTTTCCATTTTTACTCTTTTTTGTAAAATTTTATGAACTGTGAGACTTGAAGAAATTGTGCCCGCTACTAACGAATGCGATTAGTTTTTTTTTTTTTTTTTTTTTTTTGAGTTTGTTGAATATATGTCTTTTATATAACAATTTGAATTCACACATATTCAAATAAAATAATAATTAATTAGTAAAATATTTTATAATTTTTAATTATTTAATATCATAACATTTTAATATAAAATAAAAATATTTTTTAAATATGATTAATAGCATACATATGCGATTTTAATTTATTCTGAATTTTTAATAATTACTTGAATTTAATTCTCAAACTAGAATATATATATATATATATATATATACACTTATATATTATTTTCAAAATATTCTCTTCATATTTTGACTCATTAAATGAATTTTTTATCTTAAAAAATTTTTCTTTTTAAATTATTAAAAAAATCCAATTTTAATTATTAAAAAATTTATTATTATCATCATCATCATCATCATCAATTTTGTATGTAAATGAATAAAATCACTAATCTTAAATTTATCATTAAAAATATACATATATATAACATAATTTATATATGTAATAAATGGTAAAAAGTATACCATACAATATTCCTTCCTAAACACCTTACTAATTTAACATTTGACATAACTAAACAATTTAGATTTAATTGGGCTAAGATTACTTAACCTTTACTTTCTCATTTTCTTTTAAATCTTCTAAATTGTTACAATTTATTTCAGTATAAAAGCGTACTAGGTTTCATCTTCCCTTCTTTCCCTTATTTCTCACCATTAGTGGCTGCCCACCAGCCTTTCTCTTTTTTTTTTTTTTTTTTAATTCTATTTTTAAACCCTTTAAGTTTATCCTTCCTCTTACTTTTTCCTTTTTATTTCTTCTTTTAGTCCTTCTAATCTACTTTTCATTTGTATCCTTCTTTTATTTGATGGTTGATTCTAGTATATGGGTTTGGTGGGTGGTTCACAGTAGCAGTTTAAGTAAGAGGTAGAGGGACTGAGGTTTTTTTGGGTTTCAATCTGTTATGGCTGTGCTTTATGCTCTGTTTGTGTGAGGGGAGTACAAAGAATGATGTGGTTGTGCAAGAATTTCAGGTTATGACGGGCAAGTTTCTGCTTATGAATTTTTTGTTTGTGTATTCCCCTAGTTTTTTGTGCGTCTGTTAATTGCTGTGAGGTACCAAAATTTATGATTTTTTTGAAAAAAATATCTTTAAAATATCTAAAGACTTAAAAAGATTATTTTAACTTAATCTGTATGTCAATCAAAATATAACAAATGGCATAAAATTCACAATTTTGGTGAAAACTTGTTTGAACAATGAAAATTAAAAGATTAATTTTATATTATAGTTATAGATTTTGATGAATACCTTTGAAATTATAATTAACTTTTCTTTTTCTTTATACAATGAACTTTTCTAAATGCAAGTATTTTTTTAAATGTATAAATCTAAAACAACAATAGTTGTATTTATATTATTTGTACCCTACAAGACATGGCATGGTGGATTGCATGTGAATGTATGAAGTTAAAACCCTTTTTTTTTCTTTCTTTTACTTTCCCAAGTTGCTTAGTTTAACATACTTTAGAGTTGATTTAAAGCTATAAAAAAATATGCCAAATTAGTATGAAAAGATACATTGCAATATTTGTAGTAAAATTTACCAAAAATATTTAAAATTAACTACCATTTAGAATATTTTAAATTGTAATTACCATTAAAACTATGTTCAAGTTAACTTACATTTGTAAAACTATAGTTACCAAGCCACCTAGTAATTCCTATTTGGTTTTCAAAATCTACCATAGGATTGTGCATAACATGTGTTTCTTTCCACTTTTCACAAAAATTTCTACAATTGTTTACTTTTTTTTTTGTCTCTTCAATTAAATTGGTTTTTTTTTTTTTTTGGATAAAGTATCATTCAATCTCCTCTTTTTGACCCATCTCCATAGAAAAAGAAAAAACCAAAAACAATAAAAATTTATGTCATTCAATTGTAATAGCAATTAATTAACATGATATTAACAGCAATCTACCCATTAATAATAATTTTTGACAATTGCCCACTTCCACTAACAACCTGATCAGTAAAATTTTGTACCAACAATAGGCTTTTATCGAGTCAATTAGACATTTATTTGGGCTATTACAACGAATCTCACTATAAAGCTCACATTAGACCTCATCCTTGAGCATTTGAAAATGAACCATTAATAGGCTTGAAAAATTGATGATTGAGACCTAATTATAAAAACAAGACTGGATTAAAAAGATAAAATATATCAAACAAAATTTTGTGTCTACAATCCAAAACTAATCTTATCTTCAGAAAACAAAAATTGAAAAAGTATGGAAGGCAGATGATGTGAAATATTAGAAAAAAAAGAAAGGATGAAAAGCAAATGGCATGAAGTATTACAGAAAAGAGAAAAGATGGAAGACAAATGGCATGAAATATAGGAGAAGACAGAAGGGTTGGTAAAAAAAGATAAACTTATCCATTTCTTTATTATTTTTTTAAATCAAATGGTTAGAAAAAATATAGAAATAAAGGAAAGAAAAAAAAATGGACAAATGTGACTCCCTCACTTCTTTTAAAATAGCTTATTTTTTAATTTTTTTCTTTTTTAAATTAAAAATGACCCATTTATTTTTATTTTTAAATTAAAAATATAATAAAAAAGAGAACAAATGTGACTCTTTCACTTCTTTCTTTTTTAGCCTATGTTTGGATTAAAATTAGTAAAGAAAAAGAAAATAAAGGTTTTTAGAGAAAATGAAGTGATAGTTCATTCCTTTTTTGGATAGATAAAATGAGTAAAAGAAAGAAAAGGAAAGGATTGATCATAACCTTTGTTAAGTTGTGAAAATGAAAGGAAATAAGATACTATATTATATTGTTCCAATTATACCCTTTTAAAATAAATATTTTTCTATAATGTGAATAATCTTGATATTAATTATTTTTAAAAAATTTGAAAAAATGAAATAATTTCAATTAAAGAGAATATTATTAATAATTAATTCATAAAAATGTATGTTTAGAATTATTTTTATACTAAAATATTTTTCTTTCAAAAATAATCCATAAATGAGAAAAATTAAAAACTAAAATATTTATTATTAAGATAAAACTAATCATAAATTTGTTTAAGTATTAGTATTTTTCTATCATTGTATATGTTTTGTCATATTATTTTATTTTTATTATTTAAAAATTATAAAGTGATAATAAAATGAAAAAAAATAAAGACGTAAGCATAAATTAAAAATATATAAAATTTGAAATTATTGACAAAAAAAAATTGAGAAATGAGTTGCAAAAAATTTAAAGGTAGCATAAATGGTTAACACGGTTAAACTTGAATATTATCATAGTATTCTTAAAAAATGATAAAATATAATAAGGATATAAAAATTATTTTATATTTAAAAAATTTTAATCATTTCCTTTCTTTCCTGGTTACCCTAATTTAAGATAATTAAAATTTGAAGTTTATGAAGGAAATAAGGGATATTCAATTTCTTTTTTGTTTATTAAAATGTAAATGATAAATCAAATAAAAAAAAAATTTATCTCCCTTTCTTTTCTTTTTTTTTTCGCTTTCTTTCTCTCATTTTTCTTAATTTCTTAATCCAGGTATAACCTTAAGGTTTGCATTTATTTTGAAAAGTGAGGCCCACGTAAGAAAAAAAAGACAAAACAAAAAACAAAAAAGGTGTGCATGTATTTTTTTAAGTGGAGCCCACATAAAAAAACTAAATAGGAGGAAGCAACACGTGTAATGAACAAACAAAAATAGAATTGCAGGATTTATATATATAGGATGTACTTTTTTTTTAATATCAATATATTTTTATCTTATCTTGAGTCGTTTCAGCTAATTTTTTATATACGTAAAAGCGAAATAATAAAAAACATATATATAATTATAAAATCATTGAAATTGTATAGCTTGTAGTTGTCCATGAAGGGTTGAGAGAATTATTGACCAGTTCCATTTTATTTATTTGCATTGATTGGATCATTACTTCATAATTTGAGAAATTAAAAAAAAAAAAAACCAAAAATGGTGGTATCGTTTTCATAATTTCGGACAACTTAAACTTCACAAGTAAAGAATCAGATTCTCACGATATGGAAGAGTGGCCAAACAAAAAATCAAAAGGTTTGGCAGCTAAATAAATTTCAAAAAATATTTTAATACTATTTTATTTTTTATACTTATCAAGTCAAAATATTTTAATTGCACCAATCAACACCATAACATTATTTAAAGACAATAAAAAAATAAAAAACTATAGTTGACTCTCTCTTTAATTGGTACGTGACTCTAAACCGCCAAGCAGCGCGTATCCCCCAAGTCCCAATCAACGGAACTCAGAGACCAGAGACTCTTCCCCCTCTCTCTCTCTCTCTCTCTCTCTGACCATCATAATTTACCCGAACTCAGAAGACATGCCAACAGCAACGAACTACGGCTTCCCCTAAATTTTGAGATTAAAGATTTTCCATGTATGCTTCACGTTCTTGTAATAATATTTTGTAAATTTCTGTTGTTTCTGTCTGGGCCAAAACCCTCTGGTGAGAGCCCTTATAGTAGTCCAAAGTAAGAATTAAATTTCTCCTAGAGAAGGGAAGAAAGACGGAGAGAGAATTTAGTTTGTTAAGCTTTCATTTTCTACTGTTTGATCCCTTTGCTTGGTTCGTTTGTTATTTCCTATATGTTTGACTCTACTTGAAGCAATCTCTCTTTCTCTTTCTCCTTAATGGGCAGTGGGTTTGGATCATTTTCTTGTATCTATCTTCTAAATCAGCTTGTAAACATATTTTCATTCTTGGAGGGGAATTGAAGTTAAAGTCCTCCCTCTCTCTTTTTTTTTTTTTTTCCTCTAAAAATAAATTTGGTATTATTTGTGAAATGGGAAGCTGGGGTTTTGGTATGGTCACCAGGGAATATTTGGGTCCTTTGTGGATTTCAAGGAAGAGGAGATTAGGGTTTGTGTTTAGGGTCGTTTTTGGATTATGGCTTGGTTTTGTTCTGTTAAAGCCAGTGTCTGGACTTAGACCGATAAGAGAGAGGGCTTCGTCATGGGGCGATGAGGTTCGTGCTTCTTTATTGAACGTAATTGTTGTTAAATTTGATGTTTTATGCAAAGATGAAAATTTGGGGGTATGGTTTTGACTTTGGATGTTGAAATTGTAGACTTGTAGTTGTAATTGGTTACTATGTTTCAGATTTTGTCAAGTTCAGATTTTTTTTTTCGCTGAATTTTAGTGCTTTAGTTATTGCAATTTGATAGGATTTTACTAGTTACATTTTTGGTGATGCATAATGAAATGCTGCAAAATGGATGCGGGTAATGTCGAGTTTGATGGTGCAATAGAGCAATGAATCTAGCCCTATGATAAATTTCATATAGAGGGGAACATATGTGGTCGAAACAGAACAAAATAGATTCAGTTGATGGGTAGATATTCAAAATGGAGAGCTAAATAGAGATAGCTTAAAGTTTCCTCTAGTGCCATGAATTTGTTCATGCTTCATTTTTTGCTGAGAAATTCAGCTTAAATAAAATAAAATTAGACAAGTAAAAAACGTTTCGTTGGGAATTTGGGATGAATGATTGTTTTATGTTTTGAAAAATGATATCAACTTTTTCTAAAGCCTTTTTTTTTAATGATTAGTTCACTTTAGCTACATCTCCAAAGTGTTTGACAAAGATTTCATTTGTTGATTGTCTGGAGCAAACTATTAAGAAAAAGTGGACTGGGTCTTCTGCTTTTATTCGCATTTTCCATGGGTTTTTCACCCCTTGCACTCTTCATTTTGGGTGATATGGTTATTTTTGGAAGAATTCACGTTGGAGATTTTGGGTGCTATAAATTTCTTGATTTTTTAATGCTTCTTGTAGTGGCTATTTGTTAGAAAAGATGAGAGTGAATTGGGTCCATTTCATGCATGGAATATAACAGGAACTTATCGAGGTCAGTAAATGTTCTCAAATTCAACCATCTGCAATATTAGACTTGCTGCTTTAGGAAAGCTGCTACCACCAAGTGCATTTATTTTCTGGATCTTGTTACACGCACCGAAGTAGAATGTGGTTTTGTGGTTGATTTTTATTATCTCTATCATAGCTTTATATTATTTTGCCAGTATCTTCTCTACACCTAGTATTTTTCACTTTGGTTATTCATGATTAGATTAAGAATTTCCTGGAAATATTGGTAAAAACATCTTTTGTCAAAAGCTCAAAGCCACAGTCCGAGGACAATCAATATAAAATATAATAGGAATTGTATTTACCCTAAAACTGCTAGGCCACTTCTAAGTTGCAGATACTTGCTTCATGTCAAAATATTATGGATGTAAAGACAGGTGGTATTAGGATGGCTTATGGATTAGAAGTTGTTTTAAGCTAAGAACAGGTTCTGATATGAAAAAAAAAAAAATAATAAAATAAAAATAAATAAATAAAAAAGAAATTGAGGAAACTAATGAATTGTTTGGATTGCATAAGTGCTTTTCTGAAATTTTTAATTTACTAGTACTGCCAATTGAGTGGATTAAATTCACTGCCAATTGAATGGATTAAATTCAATCTTTGAGTTCATTAAGCACATTTATTTGTGTTTGCAATTGTTTGTTGATCTGATTGATGTATCCTTGGAAATTGTAGGGACTTGGAAATTTCGGGAGTCTATGAATAGCTCTTCCAAATTTCCTGATTTCAGGAAATCGGCTGGTGATTCAGTCATTGAATTAGTTAGCACAGCAACAAAAATAAACGGTGTACATTATATTCAGGTAAGTGGATTCTGGATTGTTTGAAGGAATTCACTCTTCATGATTAATTTATATATCTTTCTCAAATTTTTGCTAAAGTGTTCTCTAAACTTGTTAGAGCAACTGAACTATGTTTTTAACAACAACAACCAACTACGCCTTATATCCCATAATTCTGGGGTTGGCTATGTGAAAGGCCAAAAAAGGAATCATGTTAGGTTGTAGTTTTGAATTATCTTGCGTCATTCATTTATATAAAAAACAACTGTTTCATTTACTTCCTTAACCTTTATATCATTTCTTATTACTTGCATTCACATCTTTCATGGTCTACCTCTAGAGGTTTTGGTATTTCCCAAATCCAGAAGCTTATTTCTCCTAATCGGTGTATAGATAGGCTTATATTTCACAAGTCCAAACCATCTCAAAGGGCTTTTTTCATACAACAATAACAACAAACTAAACCTTATATTCCATAATTCTGGGTCGACTGTATGAAAGGTCAAAAAAAGAATCATGTCAGGTCGTAATTTTGAATTTTCTAATGCCACTCATTTTTATAAAAAATAACTTTTTCATCTACTTCCTTAACCCCCGTATCATTTCTTATTACTTGCATCCATGTATTTTGTGGTCTACCTCTAGAAATTTTGGTCCTTCCTAAATCTAAAAGGTCATTTCTCCTAATTGGTGCATAGATAGGCTTATGTTTCATATGTCGAAACCATCTTAAATGGCCATCTCTTATCTTTTTGACAATTCGGATTACTCTTCATTTTCCTTGAATCTCTTCATTTTTTATTTTGTCTCTTCTAATCTTACCATACATCCATCTAAGCATCCTCATCTCAGCAATGCTCATTTTTTTCTTAGAGTGTTTCTTAATGGCCCAACACTCAGTTCCATATAACAACGAAAGCCTTATAATTGTTTTATACTACTTCACCTTTAACATTAAAGGCATGTTGCGATCACACAACACACCTGACGCATTTCACATCTCGCCCATTGTACTAGAATCCTATGATTTACATCCATTTCTCTCTCAGCATCGCCCTAAAACTATGTTTCTAGATGTAACAAAAAGGAAAAAAAAGAACTATGTTTTCTATGGTTGGCCTGAAGACATGATTTGGTTATTAATGATGAGAAATTCCACAAGAAACATCTCATGATAGACCGACTTTGTTATGGAGTTTGATTTTCTTTCTTCCTCTTTATTTGTTTGCCTAATCATATTTATTCCACTCTTTTGTAGTAAGAACTCCTCTCTTTATAAAGAATATAGCTTCTAAATGCTCTTGGCTGCATTTTATTATTGTGAATTATTGTCTGACTTTTATTTCTCGTTCTTGGTACTGACAACAGGGTGTAATTATTTTCCATGATGTGTTTGATAATGAACACAATGTTGGTGGTGCTCAAATAAGAGTAGAGGGTGTATATATATGGCCTTTTAGACAGCTTCGAATGGTAGCTAACAGGTAAATCTGAAGTATATTGGTTGCTCATTGAACATTCTTTCAGTTTGATAGGATATTGCTTGACCAAGAAATGCATACTAGTGGACTGGCTGCAAAAAAGGGTTCAGAATAAAGTATTTCAAACCGTCATTACCTAATTTTTTATGATTCTATTTGACATGGGGAAACTTTTGGGAGAGGGGGATTGTTGTCTGGACAAAGGGTGATGGCAATATTGTTATTAACTTTCTTACTTCCATTTCTATGCCCTTTTATGATGAGATATTTTGTATCTGATTTGCTCAATACATTTCAACTCTGACATATTCTATTGGTGCACTGTTGCAGTGGAAAGGAGGGAGAGATGGGTCAGGAAGATTATATTTTGTCTAACCCGTATCATTTGGTAATGCTTCGTATCATACTCGTTGATGGTTCACTAGTATTTAATGTTGATTCTACAACATTTAGACTTTGGGAATGGCTTCCCATTTACAATGGATTGTATCATGATGCTAGTTTCTTTCTTTTGTCTCCAAAAGTTTTTTGTTAGAGTAATGTTATTATCTGGAATGTTGGGTCAACAGGATAAAACAATCAACTGCTTAGCGTATTTGTATAATTTCATTCTGAGGTTGGGTCTGTTAAGCCTATGTATTGGATTTGGAGCTGGCTTTTTTAACTTAAACCAAGTTGGTACCGAGTTAAAAGAAGATGATTTCCTTTAAAGTTTTAATTCTGACTGAGTTTGGTTTGATGTTGCAAGATATTTGATTCTGTATTTGTGAGTTATGGACTCTTATTTATAGCTCTGCATGCTGCAGCAGGCTCTGGATGACTATTTGTGAGAGTTGCTTTCTTAATTAATGTTTGAGTTAGGGATATGTTTTGCAGACAATTTTAGGTGTCCTTTGTATAAAATTTAATTTAGGATTGTTGTGATTTCTAACTTTCAATATCTTTGAACAGCTTGGAGTTTTCTCATCTCACGTGTTCCAAGAATCTCCACAAGACAAAATATGGAGAAGAAAAAATTGTAAGTTTTACTAGTTCCCTTGCCTTAAGGTCAAGTTAAAATTTAAATAATAGTGAATATTATTTTTCTCTTATTGCAGCACCAATTTATGAGATGGAGAAACATTGCAATATGGAAATTGCAGCCCAAATTTCACGCATCCCATCCAGCCAAAATGGTACTTGAGTTATCTCAGCTTCTTATTTCATTCATCAACCCTCATCCCCTTCTTGTACTGTTATATTCTTCTCTGATCAGTTTCTTGAAAAATATATGTTTGGGAATATCTTTTTAACCATAATATCTTAATTTAAGCAACTGCAGAAGAAATATTGACTTATGAATCTTCATGGACTTAAATCTCTAAACTGGCATTTCAAACAATTGGGCTCTCTTGCCTACCTGTATGGAGTTTGGGTATTAAGACTACTTAAGATTTAACAATGGTCCACCAGTTTGGGAAAAATGGTCTTTTTTTTATCTAGCTACTCTTATGTTATCTTCCTTTTGAACAACACACATCTGAAAAATGTCATTGGAATGTGCATTGACTGGAAGCTACTTACCAGATGGTAGGGTGTAAATGAATAGAACTTTTGACGAACTATTTGTAAACATATTCGGTTTCTGTTCGTTTATGTTCATTTATTAAACTTGACAAACGATTTTGAACAACATTTTAATGTTTATTTAATAAACAAATCAAACACGAACATAAGTTTGTTTTGTTCATTTATGTTCGCGAATAAATTCGTTTAACATTCGTGAATAAATTCAATAAATACTTGTTTATATTTTGTTTTATTCCTTCTAAGATGATTACTTTATGATTAAATATCTGTTAATAAGATTTTAATCACAATTTAATATTAATACATTGAAAAGTATACTTAGACATATATTAAAAATTTTTCATAATGTTTTAAAAAATATTATTGTAAACATAATTTTTAATAACTTAAAATGCATAATAAACAAGATATAGAGGAGACTTTTGTTTATAGTCTTTTTGTCCCACATAGCTTGGAAAACCAATGTAGGGAAGGAAACTCTTTATAAATAGGCATGTCCCTTCACTCTTGAGAACCCAAGTAATTGGTTTGCAAGATCAATTTCTTAGTTATTAGTTTATGTTCGTTTATATGTTTGTGAACATGTCTGTTTCGTTTAACTTAGACGGAATGGAACAATCCCAAATTGAGCTTGAACATTCTAATAACTAAACGAACTGAATGTAGCAATATTTGTTCATGTTCGGTTCTTTTATACCCCTGGCAAATGGTACTTGCAGCTGAAAGGCCAAGTTAGCTTGGGAAGTTAAGTATTGATCACCTCTTACAACTGCAAGATTTTTATTTGATCGGAAATATCTGCTGGCATCAGATAGTTCTATGATAATATAAGTATTGGAATTCAGAAGTTGTTTGAACTTTTATAGATGGAGATCATTATCTTTATCACATCGAAGGATTGATGGAGAGTCCTGCAGTGGACGATGATGGAAATTGTTTCTCACCTTTACTGTTAAATGCAACTTCTGTCAATATTGAAGTTTATTACAACAAAGCAGTCAACTACACCTTAATGGTCACCTTTGTATCCTTTATACATCGTCCCCTTTTATTTTCAAGGAAATGTTACTGGCCTGTTTTGGCTGGATTCCTTAATTGTTTTTCATCAGGTCTCTTTCCTTCAAGTCCTTTTGTTAATTCGACAAATGGAACACAGCAACACACAATCGGTAAGAATTTAAAGTGTGTATATATATATATATATATATATATATTGTATAGGACAAGGCAACAAGCATATTTTGCATGGATGTTATCTTTTGATATAGCATTAATCATTAACTTCCTGCTTTGTGATTAATAAAAGTATTTTTACTCTTATCTATCAGGGGGCTGTGAAAGTTTCAATTTTAATGATTGGGCAACAGGCTATCATGGATGCTTATCTTTGCCTCTTACATCTCACTGCAGGAATACTGGTTGGTAAGTTTATTGATTAACACTCCGAAAAAAAGGGCAGCCTAGTGTGTAAAGCTCCCGCTATGCATGGGGTCCAAGGAAGGGTTGAACCCACTGGGTCTAATGTAGAATTTTTGTTGATTAACACTCCCAAAAAAATGCAAACTTTTATCTACTTATATGCCATATTTTGCAGTAAAATAAGTCTATAAGGGACATAAGGTCTCTCTCATCTTTTCTTTTTCAATTATTTGCACTCCGTCGAGTGGTTGTGTTCTATCTGCAACCATAATGAGGATGCAAAACTAGGACTTGATGAGTTATCTTCACATCGACCTCAGTGGAGACTATGGGCACTATAGCACTCAGTGTGAAAATGTTTGCTAGGAGTTTCAAAGATTATTCTTTGTACTTGTAAGCATGTCTTGTAGTATCAAATGAGAATGGTTTCATTTGAAACTGCTTGTTGAATCTGTTGTGCAACCAGATAGTAGGTTAGCGGCTTAACATGCAAGAGTGGATCTCTCCTACCACCATACCCTTTTTAATGGTCTATCTCTACTAAGTTCATGTTGCTTTATTTGTATACAGAATCCTTATTTAATGCTTTTGCAACTGCGGCATTCTTCAAGTTTGTAGTCTTCTCCATTTTTGAGATGAGGTACCTTCTTGCAATATGGAAGGCAAGTAGGCCTATGAATAATGGAGAAGGTTGGGAGACAATGCGGCGTGAGCTATCAGTCTTATATAGCCGTTTCTGTAAGTGCCAGAAAAGTGTTTACATTTGTGGATAGAAATTTCATATAAATGATGATTTGCTGGAAGTGATGTAAAGACAAATAATTCTTGTCTCTTTCACTTGCATTAACTTACCCACCACCCACATTCGATAGTTTTCTCTAAAAGAACTGCTGGTAAGATCAGATTCTAATTAGCAAAGCCTTAATTTTATGAATGTGATTTTCCCAACTCTTGCATTTTGCCCTTGTTACCTATTCTAATCTCTGATGGTATAACCAGTCATATGTTGTTCGTATGGATACCACTATTCAGACACCATATTCTATCAACAGAATGCACCTGGAAAAAAGATTATGCCTCAGTCTTTCTCTCCTTTGTGTCTCTAATTAAAAAGCTTTCAAAACAAGCAAATCTAATCTATCTCTTTGAATAAAAAATCTTGATATAAGTCTGGCATTAGTATCTAAACTGATAAGACAAGGTCCCTTAATTCTCTCGGTATAATCTGTCATAACAGATTAAGAAGAGCTGAAACCTGCAGGATTACACAACCAAACACTAAACCCCTGTAAATAGATATCAAGCTCAATTACAGCAAAATCCAAAAGATGGTTTCATCAAAAAGCTAATAGTAGTGCAAACAAATTAGATCCTCTTTACTGTTATAGTAGCAAGAACATCATCTCACATTCAAAGTGAAAGGCATAGAGAGAAAAAAATTTGAGCTAGCTCAATCTGTAAGGCTAGAATAAAAGTGACATATTTTACCCACTATGTGGAAAGCTGTAAGTTTTTGACAGAAGGTTGTAGAAGGCATAAGCACTGATTTTTCTGACATAGGGAGATGATGCTAAGAAGGCTAAAGTGGTTTTTGGGTGTCAAATATTAAAGGGAAATTATATCATTTAGAAGTTATACATGTTGGAGAAATGATGTGAGAAGTGATCAAGGGAGTGCTAGTGTTTCTTCCTCTGTTTGTTCTAATTAGTCTTCAATGTTAGGTGTTCAATGTGCTTCTTACTTTTCCAATGACACTATCCAATTGCTTGCTTTTGGAATCAATTACTTGCTTATATTATGAAGCTTATGTCAAGTTGATGGGTTAATCTGATCTAGTAGAAATATTTGCAGATGGGATCCTTTTAGGAGGCATTTTGGTCATGTACGAGTTTCATAATTTTTTGCAGCCTATACTTCTCCTTCTGTACTGCTTTTGGATACCTCAAATAATCACCAATGTTATTCGTGATTCAAGAAAACCTTTGCATCCTTATTACGTCTTAGGCATGAGTATTACTCGGCTAGCAATCCCATTATATATATTTGGATGCCCTCACAACTTCATGCGCATTGAGCCTGACAAGAGCTGGTGTATCTGTTTGGGTGTATTCATTGGACTTCAAGCATCTATTCTTCTTCTTCAGCACTATCTTGGATCTCGATGGTTTATTCCTCATCAGGTCAGATGCAATTTGTTATTCTTTTCATTTATAACCATTTTTGTCTTCATCTCTTCCACTCTTTGTGGTAGCTCATTAACCCTGAGCAGGCACATTTACACGTACTCTAAGTGCATGTATGTGTGCCTCTAATACTACTTGACTGAAAGCACCTTGGGGAAATTTCTTTGGCCAGGGCTTGTTGCAGCTAATTAGGACTGCTTTTACGAAAGTCTTCTGTGGTTAGGAAACTCATTTTATTAGAACCCCTTCCCCTTGTTCCAATACGGAGTCTTTTTCTTTATTCTTATATGGGGAAATCTTAATCTCTGAGTCCCGGACTTCTCCTTTCCATCCCTTACTAATTCAGTGAATCTTATTTTGTTTGATTTACAATACGCTTGTTTCATACTGAAATGTGCTTGTTCTGCTGGGGACTTTAAATGTTTATTGTCTCCAATATGTGTTAGGATTTACCTGAAGCTTCCAAAAACCTCTTATGGAGATTTCACTTTGATTTTTTCTTGCAGATCCTACCTGAGAAATATAGCTACCATAGAAGATATGATCCAAATAAAAGTCATGCCACAGACTGTGTCATTTGTATGACTGCCATTGATCTCACCCTGCGTTCAAGTGATTTCATGGTATACTGTTGAGATATTTGGTGGGGCTCTTCGAGGCCATTTTCTTCAACTGTGAACTTTATTTAAACTTTATTTCTCTAACAGGTAACACCATGCGGCCATTTCTTTCATTCTGGTTGTTTGCAAAGGTGGATGGACATAAAGATGGAATGCCCAACTTGCCGGCGTTCATTGCCAACAGCTTAAAGAAAATTTTCCATTTTATCCATGTAACATTGGATCCATTGATGACCCCAGCTTATTCATTGCGGTAACGACTCAATGTCAATCTTGAAGTCTGACATTTTCTTTTTTCAGATATCTATAAAATTGATTCCTCATTTGTGTTCTTGCAAACTACACATCATCCAACTTGCAATCCGTTCATATATTTCTTGATAAGTTCCTCTTGGTTTGCTTATCTTTGACGAGGAAAGTGCTACTTCGTTTAACTCCTAAATGTTTCAAACTGTGTCACTTGTATATTTTGTTTCAGGTGGTGAAAAGATTCCATCCAATACCCGCATTTTGCCTGGGTCCATTGTCAGAAGATGACTGAGATACAGCATCTAAGCAATTTAAAAGTCACTGACACAGTAACAGTTTGTAGGCAACATTCTTGTATTCATTGTACAATTGTATAAATTTGATGCACTTAAAATATTTCAAAATAAGTTCAAATTGCCTTGGGAAAAAAAAAAAAAAGTTTCTCATACATCCTTGGCTCCCCATGTTTTTTACCAACTCTTTTCGAATATAGATAGCCAGTCCATTGCTAAATCAACCAAGTGTTGATTTTCTTATTGCTAAGGTATGAGACATAGAGGGTTTCAATCAAATTTTGCAACTCAAGGTTAGAATTCCATTGCCCCGCCAGGCGGCAATAACGAGTCAAACCATTTTTATGCCTATGAACATTCTTCAGCAAACAAAATGAAATGATGAATTATGGCGTGTTTCGATTTATATACTAGTTTTTTGTTTTTTGTTTTATTATATTTTATTTGTTTGGTCAGTGTTTTGCGCGTGATTAACGTATATGTAAGCAATTAACACATGCCAATAAATTAAACAAATATTTGTTTTAATAAAATTCATCAATACTATTCTATATAAAAAAGATCTCATGAGGATTTTGACAATGGCACGTGTGTTTTTTTAATTAAACGTTTTGCCTTAGAAATATGATAGGTGACTTCTATTTTTACACGATAACATTATAGTTTTTTTTTTTATTTGTCAGATATACTATACATGTTTTTCAAAGTTTTTTTTTGGACTTTTGTTTTATTTATGATTAACAGTGATTTCAAAGAAACGAATGCTAGTGTGAAACACATTTATATGTGTTTTGTTTTTTGTCTTTTTCTTTTGGTTTTCATTTTTTTAATGTGTTTTTGGGTCAATTTTTTGGGTTGTTTTGTTTTATAATTTTATTTAGATTTTTTTTTTAGGAAGATTTTGGTGTTACAGACTTCAATTTTGTTTCATGAAGTTGAATTGTTGAATGGGGTTTAAGTTTTCTAATTTTTGGTTTTTGTTTTTGTTTTTTTGTTTTTGAACAAAATTATTTTAATGTAATATTTTTTTATCGATTCCATTAAGGTGTTAACAAACCCCAAAAGAAATTTCAAAAATAGGAAATAAATTTTTGTGAGGTTTACATGTTGGTGTTATTTGGATATAGGAGTTATTTGGATTTAGAGGTTGCATGTGTACTTTTTTGGTTTAAAGGAAGGTATAGCCCTTGCAAGGAAAAGGAGATCCTAGCTTGAAACTAGAATCTCTATGTCTTCATAAAATCTCCTTAGCCACTAAATCAAGACACAAAAGGTGGGTTGCATGTATACTTTGTTATAAGGTTTGCATGTTGGTTTTTTTTTCTTAAATATTTGTCTAAAATATTTGTTACATGTTGCATGGATGATAGTCCATTGGGTTTTTTGTAGATTGGTTTGTGTTGTTTATTTAATTATCTTTTTTGTGCAAGTATTGTTAAATGTTGTTTTGGATTTAGTTCAAGGTTAGTGGGTGTTTTGTTTTTATAATTATTTTTATATATTTTTAAGTTGAATGGGATTTTATTTTGTTGTATGTTAAAAAAAGAAAAAAAAAAGACTGTTCTTTTTGTGATTTTTAGGTTTTGGTTTTCTATTTGGATTTTTTTTATGCATGTTTTTTTTTTTGTTAAGTTGTGTGTGTGTGTGTGTTTTTTTTTTTTTTTTTTTTTTGCTTTGGATTAATAATTGAAGGTACTTTTTTTTCTTATGTTTGGTTTCTTTAATTTTTTGGATTATTTTTCATTGATGAAGAACTGTGATGTTGTTGTTAGAACAAGTTTGATTATAATGTCTTAAGAGTAGTTTGAATCTAAAATTACTTTGAGGTTATACTATGTAAAGAATATCAACTATCACAGTATACTGCATATTTTTGATAGAAGCAAGTAATATATTACTGTAGGTTCTTTCTTTGGATTGCCAATTATATATCTAAGATATTTTTAATAGAAGTAAGTAGTATATATACACTGCATATCTAAAATTGTTTTGGATTAGTAATTGGAGATTATAGCATATATTAGTGATACCCAACATTAAAAAATAAATCCAATGTTTGTATATAAAAAGGCTACTTGCATAAGTCTTTCCATTGCAATGGCATTGACAAGAAGGTATAAATTGGTAGAGTCCCACATAAGTGTGCAAATAGAACCAAAATGTCTAAAACATTACACATAAAGTACAAATGCATAGTCCTATGTCAAATAGAAAATTTCATTTAGTCAGGATAAAAAACATATAAGGGTAACAATGTGATGTTATTACAAATATAAATACAAGAAAAGATAAAAGATTATGAGTTCAAATCTAGAAAGTCTTCTTTTCAGGTCACAGCTAATAAAGAACAATTGTTGGAGTTAACCAACATTTAATTTGGCTAGTTCCTTTTGTCTTATTCTTATCTACCAACTTGGTTGCCCATTTTAAATTATTGGCAGTGACAAATATATATTATATAATCATGTTTTTTTTATTGTTAACTAATGTGAAACTTTATTTTGAGATAAAACAAAAAGGTTGGCGATATATTCATTGTATTTGAGTTAATTAGTTTTAGGTTTTAAAAATGAAAAATATTAATATTTGTTTCAACACTTTTGTTTTATTTGATATGACAATATCTATATTTATGAACTAATTTTAATATCCTCATTTATGAATTAATCAACTTTAATTCTATTGTTTTTATTTTTTAGGAAAATCATACTACAAAAAGGAAAAAAAATGCTTTATAGGAGCTTCAAGCCAACCAAATGGTAAGTTCTATTCTTTATTTTATTTCAATAATTGTTTTATTAAATTTGGTGGTTTTCGAGTCAAAAATAAAGTAATCGTTTGAATTTTTTTTTTGTTTTGATTGGTTTTGTTTTGTTTTTTTTTTAATTTTTCATTTGATACAACAAGATAGCTTTAAAGCTAGTGATACCGCAACTAAAGCTAATGAAGAACAAGAGCCAAGCACATGTTAAGCAGTTAAAGAGGAAATTGACTCAATTACTAGAGTCAAGACAAAATTAGATGACCAAAATTTGGGTATTGGACTTTGATCAAAGTTTCATAATCATGATTTTGTTTGTAATTATGGTGGTATTTTTATTTTCAAATGAAGCATATGGTTAGGGAAGAAAAGACTGTGGCAGTATATAATCCTCTTAAGATATACTATGAACTTACCGTTGCACAAATGCCCATCATTAAGTCTCAAAAGTGTGTAAAATTAGTCTCTTTACTATTTCATATATGGATTGTATTCATCTTTTAATGTTCCCTTATAGATGTGTATGAAATTAGAAAAATTTTACTATCTTTACTAGTTTGCAAATGTTTGAACACATAAAGAAAAACAAACCCTTCATTGTTAAAGTAATTAGACTAGGTTTTTAAAACTCTTAAATTACCTTTGTACCTAGGAAAAGTGATATTCAATCTAACTACCAATAATCTACTTTGATTTCAACTTAGTAGATTGGCAACTTTTGATAGAGAATGAAACTCCTATTCGTTTTAATAGCTTTGAATAGTTGGATATGCATGCTTAAATGCATTAATAAATAAACATGCATGGATGGATAAGTGTATTATTGTACCATAGATAGGACTTGAAAGCCCTGTAACAATCAACTGATGGTGTAACTTTTAGTTTTTTTTTTTCTCTATGAAATTTAAGCATCTGAACAACACTTAAAATCTCACCAAATTGCCACTCTTTTTACCCTTAGACCTGGTTTCTTCCTTTCAAGATCAGGACCTCAATTGCCATTATTAAGGCTATACATCTAATTGTAGAACTAGCAATTCCTTTTTCTTTCCTTCAAAATATTTGAGGCTGTCATTTTGATTGAATCTAATATTTTGACTGATGGATGAAAGATTTAGAAAGGGGATGAAACGAAAATATATATAGATAAAAGTGATAAAGAAGTCAAGTTTAAATAAAAAAATTAGGCAAAAAATAATATAGTCTAACCATTAGTTGGCCAACAGATGCATTTAGTTTAGATATGAAATTGGTAGCGTTTTCCATTCAGATGGATAACTTTAAAATTACCTCTTAGTTGTATGTTAACAAAGTAATTAATATACAATATACTTAAAATTTTATTTGTGAAAATAATTCATTGGATTTGGAATTGGATAACTTTTTTTATATTTTTTCTTAGTTGGAGCTTTAATAATTGCATATTTGTCAAAACTCTTTAAAATTCTATAAAATTCTTAATTGATTTTTTTTATACATATGAACAAGTCTAACGAAGTAGGCATACATATCAGCATACTTTATAAATTGTTCCCTTTTCATTTGTAGATTTTCAGATTTGTTAACTTTATTTTATATAAAAATAAATCAATACTACTATAGATAAAAAGGATCCCTTAAAGATCCTGAGGTTGATAGCTTTTTATTTTTAGGTTGTATTTTTTTAATAATATTTTATATTTTATTATTATTTCAAGTCTCTAGAAGGTTTTTTTTTTTTTTTATCTCTATGTTTTTTAAATGAGGTATGAATGTATAGTTAACTCAAGTGATTTTGTGCTGGCACATGGGAACTTGCAAATTGATACTTGTTATGTTGCATGCTAATTTATGTTGCCATTTGGTATTCGATAATTTTTTTTAATTCAATAACGCTTGCAATTGTCGATCACAATTCTTTTTAAGAAGATAATGGCTGCCAAAAGTAGCAACATTGCTAGATCCAATGATTGTTGAACTCTTTAGAAATAAAGTTTAAGATTTGATGTAGCGATGGCCAAAGAGCGTTCAATGTCATTATTAAAGAAACTCAAATCGCCTTGTCATCGTCTAAATTCAAGCCCAAACAATCTTGTAAATGTAAGCCATTACTATTAAAGTTTTATTACTTTAATTATTGTATGGTTGCTTTAGTTAATTTAGTCTTAAAATTTATTATTAATTTTTAGATAAGCAAGTAAAATGAAATTAATAGGAAACTTAATTGATTTTTTTACAAATTAAAAAAATAGATATTTGTACCTTTGTTTCTTTTTAGTGTTTGATGAAATTCATGTTTTATAAAAGAAAGGATAAAATTAAAAAAATTGTTAATAATGTTTAATATTATCTATTTTTAGGGAACTAAAAAAGATTTTAGTGAAAAACCAATGAAGAAAAATTGAAATCCTAGAGGTAATTTTGTAATTATTATTATTATTATTATTTGGTTTTTAGTTTTAAACAATCAATGTTAACTTAGAGTTCGTTTTGGTTTATTTTAAGATGTTAAGCAAATTAGGACAATTAAAGAAGCACTACATGTTTAAATAGCTCCATCAACTGTTGTGTACAGAGAAAATAAATAAATAAGGGTTTTGGAGTTTTGTAAGGCATGTGTAGAATAAGAAAAAGTAAAAAGTTTATATGCATGTGAATATCTTGGAACTAGGAAGTCATTATCTATGAAAAAAGTAAAATAGCAGGTTATTGATTAGGTAATAATGGTACATTCATTGCTTATTATCCCTTTATCTTGGAATGCTATTGAAATAGGTTATCATTTTCAATTATTTCTTTTTTGTAGCAAGAAGGTTTGTAGCCACTTGAAATATTAACAATGAATTGTATGTCTTTAACAAACATATCTGAGATTTTTAGTAAGGTATTGTTATTAAGATTTTATTAACATTAAAAGTTTAAATTTTATTAATATTTACTTGTGATTAC